CCAACCAAACCATTCCATCATTCTATGATATTAGTATACTGACTTGTCTTCCAGGCTGTGGTTTTAATGAAATACTTGGTTTTGTCCTACAGCCTGTGGAAAAACCTCCTAGTCACCCTTCTTTTCATGTAGTGCTGGAAAAGGTTTGCTTCCTACCAATCACGCAAGTTCACTTTCATCTTCTAATACACAGTTCAGAACAGGGGTTGTTTATGCCTTTTTTAGGCTTATCTGTGACCTGACAGGCCCTCTTACCCGGAATGCATGAGCTTCTATCAGAATTTTCCAGTGAGACACCATTGCTGCTAGGAGCACTATGCAAGGTGTGCTCCGCATTTGTACCTCTGAACCTTCAGTTGGAAGTGGCCTGGGGTAGTTTTGAGTAGAGGACATAAGGAATTGTGAGGAGAGCTCCCGAGACATCTGTGTGCCGTGAAGAAGACCTAGAAGTAGCTAGGTTTCTGCAAGTGTCTCCAGATCAATGAGATTTCTCTCTGGATACTGGGATACTTACAGGCTTGAAGAGGAACAACCTTTTGCTGTTTTCCCTATTATATTTTTGTAATTTGGAGAAAAATTTCTGAGTTTTAACACTGACAAACCTATTACTATTGTTATTTTCTGCTTTTTGGCAGGTGGTACCATTTGAACCAAACCTTACGCTAATTTTTGAGGTCCCAGTCTTGAAAGAATTTGAGCAGCTGCAGCTCCCACAAAAGTAACCTGATCATTCCTATATCCCAGTCAAAATTTCGTTAAATACATTTTGTTAAATATCTCTTTGTATAAAAAAAGGATGTCAGGGAAGATTCACAGGAAAAAAAAAAAGAAAGGGAGTAGAAAGGAGTAAAGTTAAAGAAGAAAAGGAAAGCAAATGCAGAGGAGTAGATTTAAAGGATTGCTTGCCATATGTGAAGGCATCTCTATGGTTAGAAATAGCCCCAATCTTATTTCCCTTCCACTGGAACCCATTATGTTTTCACACAGGAGAACTACCACAATAAGGACATTAATGCTCTCCTTGCGTGCTAGCTAGTTATTAGAGACTCACAATGAGGAAAGTGATCAGAGAATACTTGTCACATGCCCAAACTACCCTAATTCAAGGAAACTGCCACCTCAGTGCATCATATGAGGCAGGTCAAGCCTAGGGTGAAGCAAGCTTTCTGTGTAAGAATTTTAATTAGCAATGAGCACAATAAAATACATAAGCTGCTGAAAGTTAACAAGTGCTACTGTTTGAGATTTATGTTCAAATCCATGCTGTGTACTTCCCTTTCCTCACCGCCATAACGGATTAGCAGTATACTGGATAGTAATCAACAAATATTACAATCATCCTTCTAATCTTATTAACCAACTTGTAAGAAGCATTAAGGACACATTTATACCGCTTGTGGGAAACAGTCCAAATACAACGAACCAAAAGCTGCTTATCTACAAGCAAAAACAGCATTATATGACTGAAAGGGACCAAGTTAATCAGAGCTATCAAGAGGCTAATTCAGGTCCAGAGGGCTGGGAAGGCAGATTAAATGATCGTTCATAAATCATTGAACGCATACACTATACAGCATTGTAAGAACAAACAATGATCTTCTGTAGGGTGCAGTTTCCTGCTTTCTATGTATCTGTGTTTTGACATTTTAAGTATCTCATCATCATCTTTTATCCCTAAGTTGAGAATGTGTAGCAATAGCATTATAACTCAGCTTGTTAATTATCAGCCCTTTAGGAAGGAAGGGGATAGACTGTAAAAACAAACCTAAAATTGTTCATGTTTACAGGCAGCACTACTGTGCTTACTACACACACGTACAGAATATAAAAGAATATGATCCAAGATACCATGGAGGAAAACTGGGAAAAGCAACTGAGAGAATGTGGAAAAATACGCTTTATATATGCTTCAGGCTCCTTTGCTTTATGGGCTGGAGGGGAGGACATTGCCGGTTAATTTTTCACTTTTCGAGTATTTTGTTGAAGTAGTGAAATGTGCTGGTTTAGTGAGGAAAACAACGCACCAAAATGTAGGCTTATTCACTGACTCCACCATGGACCAACTGGGGTCTGGTCTTATTATGCCTTTCTTCTGGTAGGATTGAGACTATCCACAGGCTACGACTGACTCCTCTTTACAACTGTCTTCCAAAGGCTCAGTTACCCATTTTCGAAAGTGGTTAAAACATTGCTCTTCGGCTGCTTGCTTTTGCCCCCCTGTCAACAGTCCTAACAAAGACTTTTCCACTACTTACCAAGGAGTGGAGTTAATGGCAAGACATGGAACACACTCCAGTTCTCTAGATAACATAATCTTCCACATTTCCAGTGCCTGATTTTCCATTGCTCTGCGCTCTGTATATTTACTAACATCAGCTCAAAATGAGGGCAAAAAGCTGCCATTGCAAAGCACTTTCTCTGGAAACATGACATTCTGGGATAAAAGACAACATAACACATTGGGAAGAAGAGAATAGTCCTTTAATTGCAATAATTAAATTATGCTTGGTTTTGTCAATTTTTTCAGAGAAAACAGAAAGGTCTTCAGGCTGGAAGAATAAGGCTGAATAGCACGAGAGCCTAAAAACAAGTGAAGTCAGCAGTTCAATTTGATAGCACCGCCAAATCAAACTTGTACAGATTTGTCCCCAACTACCTGAGCAACATCGTTTGTTCATTTTTGTGACTTCATGGATTTATTTTTCAGTTCTCTTCCCCTTTCCTTTTTTCCACTGAAAAACTTTACATATCCCATTTATAGCTCTAGGAAGGCGGTTGCCTCAGTGCTGTCATAGTCGTTTGGGGTTTGGCATAACATCAGACATAAGCCCTCATCTGACTCTTGTTTTGTCTCTAGGCCTTGCCCAAATCTGCCTGCTCTGTAGCTCAGGTTTCCAGCTTGGTCCTATTATGTCTGAGATGCCAACTGGCAAGCAAACTGCACAGCCACCTGGAGTACAAACTAAAGGTTTTCCTGGCCATTCTAATTTCTCAGCATCTTGTCCGAGCTCCTGGTTTGCTCCCTAAGTTTCTCCCTAAGGTCCCTTAATTGCAATCACCCTCAAAAAAAGGATCACCCATCTCCATTCAAGTTCCAGGACTGAAGTTTTACCACCATCTGTCCAAGATCTTGTTCTTACAAGGCCACCTGCCTGGACTACACACACTTTCTTCTTCAGGCTCAGCAACTGCTATTAACCCTTTTCTGTCAGCTGCTTTCTAAATCTGAGTTTTCGCAACTACCTCTAAATGGAAAATGAAGTCCTTTCAAGATATGTTCGTTGTTTCAAACACCTGTCCTTATCCTAGTACAGTAATTATGAGGTCTAATGGAGTTCTTTGGTTAGTGGTAGATTAAAGATGGCAAAAGTCAAATGAAATAAGCTCTCCGGTGTTTTGCTGTCGAGTAAGAATTTGTGGTTAGTAACTGCAGAATAGCTCTTGTTTACATCTCTGTTTAATTCATGGTCACTTGTGTGACCGTGCCCTCTTTTGTAGAGCTAATATGCTCTCATCATACTGTTGTTATTTTAGAGGTCTAACTTTTCATTGGCATATCCTGTCTCAGCAATAAATTTTCCTGCGGTGTATTATAGCGATGTAACTCTACTAGAATTGCCCTGCCAGTAGGAAAAGCTTCTCTGTGCTAGGTCAGACAACTGTACTATCTAACTGAAAAAAACCCAAACAAACAGGTAAAATACCTATCTATTTTCCATCAAGCCACAGACTTTGTTATCTTTTTATTAAGAGCTTTCGTTAATCTACATAATTAAACTTCAAAGCTAATAAAACTGAGCTCATAGAAAGCACACACAGATAAAGTGAACACTCCTTGAAACCATTTAAAGACTGAGAAGCATTACAGGTTGCAGGATTTGGGGCTAACACAGTGATCTCTCTTACTTTCTTTTGACCTGTTTCTCCCAGAAGAGGACATGATACTACCCTCACTCCAGCCTCACTAGCAGACCAGCAGATCCAAATAACCCTAGAGCTGCTGATTCAATGTGTGGTTATAGAGAAAGGCATTTCTCAAATATGAAAGATTGTAAGTGAACGTCCGCTGGGAAAGCTCGTTCTGTTTAAGAATAGACTAGCTGAAATTGTTTTCTGCAGTTTATCTTTACACCGTTAATAAGTCCAAGATCATGGCAATCAAACTTCCATCCAGTCACTTTAATCTCCTTTAAATAATTCAGTGTGGTTAGTACCTGACTTAATTTGCAGACTAACAGTGATGCAGGCACCCAGTCTCATTTGCTGCTGAAATCTACAGATACCAGCTTCTTGAGAGAGATCAGTGGCTGCATGAAGGAAAGCCAGCCATCGCTTGTCACACAATTCATTGCCAAGTCCAAGCGCTGAAGGTTCTGCAGGTGTTCTTTCTCAAAAAAATTGCCCGTGAACATATATTTATTTATGTATTTTTTTTTGCTTCAAGCTCTAATGAAAAGACTGATTCCTGTTCAGCATATTAAAGAATTGAGTCCTACTGAATTCAGCTGAAGTTCTATACTTAAAAAAATACCACCCTTAATAGAAAAGGATTTAAACATGTGCTTGCATATTATTTTTTTTGTTATTTAGAATGAAGAATGTGAAATATAGCAGCCACAGATCATAATTGTTTTTATATCTAGACTTTTCTTCCTTCTTAAAACGTAACCTGCAGTATGCTGCATACAATAGGATCCTTGTAACTACAGGGAGGTCATTGGCTTCAATGGGCCTATGGACTGCTGCGCATTCCAATTTAAATGATTTATCTAAAGAAATCTTCTGTCTTACCAAGTCTGTGGATAGCATCTTTTTCTACGTAATTTTCCAACAAAGCAAGTACATTCAGTTTTGGCAAATTACAAAGATTCTGAGCTACAGGAGTTAAAAAAGCTTGTTACACATGTTTTCAGTGCAGCGTGACTTGTCTTCTATCCACCTTTCTTAGCTTGCTTTCTTAATGAACAGCAAGACAAGATTTTTAAAAGCCTCCACGTTTTTCTTGCTTTTCTGATGCCTCTCTGATGCAAACTGTGCCGTCTTGTTGTTAATTGTGTCTCCAGGAATTGATAAAATAAAGAACCTGGCCAGCCGTAAGAGCTAGGGTAATGGTTTTGTATAACATACGCTGGTGGTTGAACAGATCTTCAGTGGTGATGAGACAACTTTAAGACGTCTTTGCAACACAGAAGCAGGACGAAGCTGGCTGAATACATGGGAGATTCTTTAGTGGTTTAAGTCCTGGGGACTTCAACCTCCCACTTCACAAAGCTGTCAAGTTTTTTTATTATGATATAAAAATGTATATTTTACGGGATCAGAGAATTGTGGAAGAGTGGGACTAGATGGGACCTTAGAGTTTAAACATCTGTAATGGGGCAGGATACTGATAAGCCTAAACCATTCATGATACATATTTATCTATCTTGTTCTTTCAAATTTTCCATATTCTCCCTAGGGACGATTTTACCTTCCTGGCTTTAGAAAGTTTCTGCCAATATTCAATCTAAATATTCTTTGTTGCAAATTTAGCTACTTTCATCTCCCAGTGAACAAAAAGAACGCTTGATTATCATCTCTTTGTAGCAATGTTTAAAGAGCATGAAAAATTTATATCTTTTTCAGACTTCTCTCTCCACCAAAAACTAACTATTCCTTGTAAGTCACATTTTCTTAACCTATAGCTGTTCTTGGTGCTCTCTCTTGATTTCTCTATACATTTCTTGATTATGATACTGAGGTTGGGCACACATTTGCTGCTCAGTAGCGCAGTATTTCCAGTCTTCCACCGAAGACCTCTGATTCTTTCCTGCTACACAGGTAAATCTCCATTTTGTATTCATGAAATTGATGTCTCACTCCCAGCTACAGCCCTTTACCTCTGTCTGTGCTAAATTCCCTATTGTGGTTTTTGGACCACCTCTTAAATGCATCCAATTTTATTTATGGTTTTGTATTCCAACAGGGCTTGTAAACCTTCCAAGCTAAGTATCATCTGAGATTTTATAAGCGTATCTTCCATTCTGTCATTTAAGCCAGCAGTTAAAATATTGCTCAGAACAAGGAAGGATCTGATTGTATCAAAACGTCTCTCACTTAGTGAAACATTGAGAGTGATAACTCTTTGAAAGTAATTTTTCAACCAGCTGTGCACCCATTTTATTTATATATATGTCACTAGCTTCTTGTTAAAGATGGTGTATACAATAGTGTTTAAAACCTCATTTGAGTTATGATACATCCAGACTTACCTTTTTGCAATCTTATTACCCTGTTCCCTCAAAAGGTTTGATGTGATTTGTTCACATTAGCTTTTTTCTCTATAATTTAAGTGCTTACAAAACGTTCACGTGACAACCTGTCTCAGAATTTTTGTTGGTACCACAGTGAGGTTGGCTTGTCTATGATTTCCTCCTTTCAAGGAAAAGATACTGGATTTTCCACTTTCCTGCCTCCACAAATTTTCAGAAGCAGTTGTCTATGGTTCAATGATTCTTTCAGCTTGTTCTTTCAATACTTAATTGTGAATTTCCCCAAGTTCTGCTAACCTGAGTTCATGTGGTTTAGATAAATAATTTTCATTTATCCTTATTTGTACTACTGTGACCTTGTTAAAACTATCTGAGAAAGTACCTGACCAGAACGAACCTTTTTGGTAACGACTGAAACAAAAACAACTTTGAAAACTAGTTTTGCTTGCATCATCTATTATTTGCTTTCCTATTTTGTTTGTGTACAGAGCCATGCAATAGTTTATCTTTCTCTTTTATATAGCCTTCATACTTAGGAGTTATATAAAAGCTTTATATAAACTTTCCTTAGTGCATTTTACATCCCTGCTAACTGAAACTCATTGTGAACCTAAGTGTTTCTCATTTTATCCTTATATGCTTTTTTCTTCCATTACAGAATTATGTTTTGATTTTCAAAACACACATACTCAATTTGTAAAGTTACCGTTACCGTTCTTACCTAGAATTTCCACAGCATCACTGGAGATACAGCAGCTGACTAGTTGGATTTCTTTAAGTTCACTTAGTTCATCAGAGACTGATCTTACAATGTAGGTTATGCCATCCTCAGTAGCTGTCAAATGATTCCTGTATAATAAGCGTAGCTTTCTCAAATTTCTGATACCTTCAGCTATGAATGTTAAAAAAACAGGTCACATTGTTAGGTGAACTGTTTTGATACGTTTATAATGTCTTGATCACAGCAAACGGCTAGACAGAATTAGATGTTTATGCCTGGCATTCTACAACTATCTATATTTTGATGCCATGAAATAGATGATAAGTTTTGTTTGCAAAAAAAATGATAAAGACAGTCTCCTGTTCAGCTACTGTATCATGTAATCAATATAAACTGCCCCTCAGCCCAGAGAAGGTAACTCATAGAAGATCAAACGTAATCTTCCTGTGGAACAAATCGAGGAGAAGCATTTTTTTACCATGCCATCAAAGCGAGGATCGGTAGGCACACGAATTGCTATCTTCATTTCAATTAGTGGGTTGTGTGGCCTTAGCAAACATTATTCAAACTTCTCAACCTTGGTATCCAGTGACTGACCTTGCACAAAGTCAGCAATAGGTCAGGGAATCACCTCTGCAACCTCCTGACGCAGACTAGCCAGTCCTGGGATCGGTATGTTAGATCTGTTTGACTACAGTATGCATTACTAACTTGAAAGGAGCACTCTAATGCTTCGTGACAATCAGGATACAGAACATATCAAGACTTCAATGCAAATGTATAAGAAATTACTTCTCGAAATGAGATGATAGGATTTCAAGTCCTAATAGCATACAAACTTCAGACCAACTTGTTAAAACACTCACATTCTCAGCGCTAAATACTTGATTATGGTGTGAAATAGGAGAGATGAAATTATCTAATTTTTTTTGCATCACCTTCATCCATACTTAGGTTGTCAAGTACAAGCCCTTCAGCATTCACAAGTTGCTTTACTCCATCAACAAGTCCGCCTGCCAAAAAAACCCCCATAGATGTATACAGCATGTTAATTTAATATGGCGTGTGTGTGCACACAGGAAAGAGAATTAATTAACATGTAGTTCCAGAATAACCTTGAGATTATATGTCGTAGAATGACTGAAAAAATTCAGGTTAAGACTTCTGAGGTAATCTAGTTTGATTTCCTGCTCAAAGCAGGGCTGATTTTAAAGTTCAGTGAGGCTGCTCAGGGCCTTGTCCAGCCAAGTTTTGAAAATCTCCAAGGTTATTGATTAAATGACCTCCACATCCCCGTTGCAATGTTTGATCACCCTCCTGGTAAAAAACATTTTATGTCCAACTGCAATTTCCCTTGTTACAAACTTGAAATTGTTGACTCTTGCCCTTTAGCTGTGCACCTCTGCAAAGCTCCATCTTCTCTATAATACCCTTAAGGGAACGGAAGACTGCCATTAGTTTCCCCACCAGCCTTTTCTTCTCCCGGAAAGCCATGGCCCGTTCTCTTAGCTTCTCCTTGTGTATTAGGTGTTCCAGCTCCCTAGCCACGTTAGTGGCCCTCCATTGGACTCTAACCAGATTGCCAGTATCTCTTCTATACTGGGCAGCCTGAAACTGCATATAGTACTCCAGATTTGGCCTCAAGAGCAGAGAATAGAAAGGAATAACCACTTCCCAGGGTACACTGGTACTAATGCAGCCCACTGTGCGCTCAGTCTTTGTCATGGACCCATGATCACCTGCTTCTGAGACTTGGTATCACCAGTACTTGTGTGCCTTTCTGAAGACAAGATACATTCATGGATAGCCTGAATGATGCAAATGCATCCATCCTCCTTTAGTGCCCTGCTCCAGCAATAGCGTTGAAGGATCCTGTATGTGTGTGATTCACAGCCAAAGGAAAGACACGTCCCCCATCCTAACGGCAGAATCCTTCACCTCAGGTATATCTGGAGCATACTACACTACAGTTACTAGACTCTTCTCAATTTTAAGAGAAAACAATTATTCAAGCTAGAAGCATTTAATTCATTATGAGAATGACTTATTAAAAGATACTGCAGATTTTCCATCATATTAGGTATTAACAGCAGAACTAGACTTCTTTAAAAAAAATGCTTACCCAGAAATTATGACAGAGATGTAGGAAGCAATGAGGGGAAAGTTCTGTCCAATGTTACAGGTCTAGATCAGGCTACAACACTCTCATTTGATTGCCAAAAAAATATGCATCTGTTGTGAAAACTAAGTTAAAGTGATGGTATGCTGTATCCCATGGTACTTACAAAGTCTAGCTAGCGTACAGACATTATCTCCTTTACCATGGATTAGTTGCATCAGAGTTGTTAAATTTTTCTCCCACCTAGTAGTTTATTAAAAAAAACAGATCTTTTTAATACATTGTGCACCAAGAACCAAGAATATGATGGAATGACGGTTTACAAGAATTCAAAGGCCGTTGTGTAGCAAGAACCAAGAATATAACGAAATGGCAACTTACAGGAATTCAAAGGCCAGACCTGACTTACACAACTATGTAACATAAGTAAATTTACGTAACTGAATAGACTACAGTCGCTTTCACCAGTAATACAGAATCTCATTCTAACAATATAACATTTCTCAAACTGATCAAAACCAGGCATCTTCCATATACAAGGCAGCCATGAGCCTCTTTGTTTTACCTTCTCATCCACATTTATCTAAGAGATCTCATTTACTGCCAGTAATACTGTACCTTCTAGATTTTCACTTTGCAGATCTCTTATATGCAAGGTTTTCAGTTTCATCATTGTTGTGATCCGTTGCTCGTCTTCCACAGTAAGAGGTGTGAACTCCACAGTAAGCTCTTGTAAGTTTTTACAGGTTTCAAGGACTTCATTCAATGTTCCTGCGATACCAGCACTACTCCTGATTGTGCAGCTTCAGGCTTGCAGCAGAGCAACATATTTTGCCCAGACATTTAATATCATGTTTCTTTAACTTGTTGAAATCTTGCAGTGCAATTTCTAAAGATCTGGGGCTGTGGCTCCAGCTGAAGAATGAGGAGATAGCCTTTTCAGGGATGTAAGTTTTAAGTGAACTAATTTGAAGATCTTCCACATTCTCATAATCTGTTTCCTTACTTGGTGAGTAATTTCAAAAAAATTCTAACTTAATGGGTCCTAGTACACTAAGACAATTTGGTCAGTATCTAAAAAAATCAGAGAAATAAGCCGGGATATTTTGAGTATTAATGTAAATACTTTCATCACAAAAAAAAATTTCAAAATATCTGCTCAAGGCTGATTTTGAAGAACTTTCATAAAAGAAATTAATGACACACTCTGCAAAAATATCCTTTTCGGTTCTTTTAAAATCTTCCTTTTCTGTTATATTTTCTGATTTTTTTGTGTATTCTCTTTTCAAAGCCAGATTCTTTAATGGAAACAGTTCAGAAATATCTCTATGCTGATCAAGTCTTTTCAGTAAGTCCAAAATTATTCTAGTGGCATCTAGAGAGGATCCACAAGTGTAGAGGAGCAAACTGAAATAAGTCTAAGTAATATCTGAAAGAGTATTGATTTTCTGTAGATAACTATACCCTTTCTTCACCTCTGCTTCTTGGCAGGATGTCACTAGTTTGTAAAGTTTTCTGCCTGCAGTGTATTCCTGAAATGATTTATGAAAGAATCTGTATGTTGGCTTTAGTCTTTGAGCTGTGTGTTTATTTAGGAGACCTGAAGTTAGCAGGACTACTTCTTTTATATCAGCTAAATCCTCAGACTGAAAATCAAATCTTTGATCAAATATTCCGTCTACAGCTAAATCTCTGGCATGATTTATGCTCAGCATAATATGACTTTCTGTTATTTCTTTTGTTTTGTACCTGGTTTTCTTCACCATCAAGTTACACAAAGTAGAGAAAAGTAGAGTCTGGGTGCTTGGATGAAAATTACTTTCACCCATCTGGATGGCACAAGCAATGATGACAAAGAGTGGAGTCTTCATAAGGTTCTTCATGGAGTGGCCTCTTTAAGCTGGTTTAACAGACCATCAGCCAGCTTATTTGTCAAGACATTTTTAATGAGCTTCTTGCAACTCTCCTCCGATAGATCTCTTATTTCAGCAATTAGTGACCCAAACTGTCCGATTTTACGGATAGACTCAGTCCTGGCAGCAATAAGAACCATGTTCTTGAATTTGTGGTTTTCTTTAATCATTGCTTCTCTCTCTGGACAGTTTGGGGGTTTGAATTCATCATATCCATCTAACAGGAAAAGAACCCTTTGCCTTCATGCTAGTAGCATTTTCATGAAATCTTGTTTGCAGATGGAGTATTGTTCAAAAAGAAGCTGATCACAGTCAGTCTCGTGTATCCCACCTCTTGTGCTAGTCAGGCTGATAAAGAAAACAAATTGGAATTTTTGCAAAGCAGAGTAATTTTTAGAAGCCCAGAGTACAGCGATTCTTTTTAAAAGAGTTGTTTTTCCCTTGCTAGCTTCTCTTTCTCTACTGCAGGGATTTTTCCATTCCTCCAGAAGGACATTTAGCATCAGCTGCCCTTTGCTCTATTATGTATACCTTTTTTCCACAGCAAGACGTCAGTAGAGGCAGTTCCCAAATCAAAAATTATGTCAATATCACTACCCAGAGGGTAATATTTTTGAAAAGCTGAAGATAGATACACATACTTTAAATCTTGAATCAAGCAATTTAATTAATCTTGTTCCACTTGCCCGGTAGTACCTAAGGCAAACAGATCATGTATCAGTGAATTAAGTAGTCAATGAGTCTGTCAATTAAAATTTCATTACTTTTGGAGGAATTGCCTGAATGCCCTTGCTAAATCAATGAAATAGCGGTAAGCAAGAGGCATGAGATTTATTTATTGTCCACTGTCTAGGCGAGACTTAATTGATAAGGGCTGTACTTACTCCTTGTGCAGAAGATTCATGTAGTTTGTGGACACCACGCTGGCTCCACTTAACTCCTTATTTGAGGGCCTTTTGGACTTACCTATTTGTGCATTGGATTCCAAAAATGTAAGCTTGCATACAAGCATATGAAAGTTTGTATGTGCAAATGCACGATGAGAGCATGAGTTTTTAATGCAATAAGGTTTTCATGTGGAAAGACGGCACTTATATATATACGTGAAAGGTATTAGAGTATTAAGAGAGAGAATTGTAAATCAGAAACAGCTTTTGACAGTAGGACTGAATGAACTTTTAATCTAGTTCTTTTTTTAAACTATGTCTTTTCCATTTTTGTTACTTTTGGTTACTCTAAGAGTTGCTTTCATACAGTTTGGAGGTCAGCTTAGTTCAACCTTCCATCATAGATGTAATGAAACGGAGTAACATCTAGAACGTCTGAAGATTACAAAAAACAGCTTCTATAGGGAGTCCTGGAGGGTTTGTATGCACTGCTTTTTAAAGCACATATATGTAGACTAAGGGACAGGGCTGAGTCAGGCACATATTTAAAGATCAAGCTTTTGAAGCAGGCAGAGTAAAGAAGGACAGTCCCACAAACTGAAGGAAATCAGAGAAACCTATTTTAGGGAAATGCTTCGGCAACAAGTGTCACACCTCTCTGGGAGCACCGAAAGATTAGCCCAGGCGTATGTATGCATCACGTTCACACAGTAAGACAGTCCTTTAACAACATGATGACCTTGCAGCCTGTGCACAAGTAGTTTCAGCTTCCAGGGAACAGGTTTATATTTGAAAACCTCAGCACGTGTCCCCATTGAATTTTATATGAATACTGTCCATAGAACTGAGATAATTCAGCATTCAGCCCACCCACAACTCACTTCTCATAAACAAGTGATGGGATGTGTTTAACTGTCTGAACTTCATCTATCTGATCACAGACGATTTTCACCCTTTCAGAACAGTGTAACTTGATGGTGGAGAAAACCAGGTACAAAACAAAAGTGAACACTCAGAAGTTTTACAAATATTAAGACACAAAGAGGGGAAACTGTGGAACAGTTAATCTAATATTCAGACTGAAAAATAAAACAAATCAAAAGATTGAATACTCCAGATATTACTGTTATTTTCCTAGACCAGAAAAAAAAATTACGTTTCGTGAAATGCTGCTATGAAACTAGCCAGATATAACAATATTCTCTCTAGGCGAATTGACTAAAATTACTTTGATTTGGTATCTTATATCTATATGTGAAAGCTTTAAAACATGTTTCAAATCAATAAGCAGGACATATTGATTTAAGCAAATGATTTTAATCTTCTGTGCTTTAATTCCTAAGAAACAGATCATTCTCATAAAACAGCATAATCATTAAAATATAACCTTTAAAGTCAATTCGGTCATTATTTTTGACAACCAGAAAGATACAGTTCATTTTCCAAACTGTTTCAGTTCAAGTTTCACATAGTTTCATAGTGTAATATATATATGCAGATTCTTAATTTTCACATTTTTATCATTAAGGATAGTGAATGAGGCATACGTTACTTACTTATTTGGTTTTACTTTGAATGATACTAAGATACATTTGGATGGAAATAATAATTAAGGTAATGATGTACAAACCCAACATTTAAATTAATGTATTCACTACATAAAACTAAATAAAGGTACCTTAAATAAAATTACTTATTTTTTATAGATACATCTGAGAAAATAAAGTACATTTGTGATAATATGTAACAGGTCAAATTAAAAGTCCATCCAGCTCAGCATCCCGTCTCCAGCAGTGCCTTCTGTAAGATGTTCCACTCCTTGGGATCTTTTCCAATTCCATTATATTCTATTTGAGATGGAATGCTAGAGCAGACCATGGTATTAAGATACCACCTAGGCTTTACAGATGAACACAGCGCCACAATAATGTTCTCTCTCTCATTCTCCATTTTCTGACAATTCCTTCCATTTGCTTTCACTGAGCATTGAGCAGATACTTTAATATAGCTATCAATTCCAACTCCCAGCTCCCATTTGTAAATGTTAATCACCATCCACATGTAAGCGAAACCACGATTTTTAGGAGTAACTTAACAATATACTGAATGAAAAATACTGTTTGCTTAGACAAGCTTTTTCTTGAAATGCTTAAAATTCTCAAATATTAAGTGTAGAAGCAGTCTATTGACATTAACCCTTTCTAAACCAAAACTTAAATATTCTAAACCTTCCAGAATCTACAATAGTCTCCAGTATTACCAGCTTTACTTAGTGATCATCTCATAGTTTGTAGCACACTAAATAGGATGGTAATAGTTAGTAGTAATTAGTAATAATTGCTAGTATACTAGATTACTACTTAGCCATAAGTTCTGGAAAACTACTCTGGCTTTACAGTGCTGAAAGACTAATTTGAACTTGCTCCTGTAAAAAGTATCACTTTAAATATTACAACTTTTCTAATAGTTCTTGTAAGCAAATGTCACACGGGCTTTTATTTGTTGTTTAAAGAAATAGTCAAAATACATGGATACAAATTCCCCACTGCCAAAGCCATGTAAGGTTTCTCAAAAGAAAAAAATTATAGCAAACTGAAGTTAAAACATCTCTGAACTTTCTTCTTTACAAATATTCAAGAATAAGGTAGTGGTAAGAAAGCGAGCAGTTTACCCACATCGGTGTGCTCTTAAATTAAGAAGACTTGGCAAGCAGCAAAGTGTGGTAGTGCTTGTCAAAAACTGCCTCCGTATTATCTGTAGGTTCCTTCTCTGCAGGTTTCCTCCTTCTACAATTACTTGTCATCTTGTTTGCTTAAAGAGTATGTTGTGCAATACCTTTCTGTTGCCAGAAACATACGGAGCTGACCCTTGATAAAAAGCAAGTTCCAGTTCATAACTATTTGAAATTTTATGATACAGCAGTTATCAAAACCCTAGCCTTCAGTCCAGGGTTAATGGTCAAGTTAGCAACTCTTTCTACTACTAGTAGAAATGAGTGTATCTACGATGCATTGGCTTCGTTCACTCTTTAAAGGTTTCATTAAAAGATAGTAACTTTAAATTCATGAGTAGACTAAACCATGGAGTTCTGCTGCTCGGAGAAGCCGGGGCTCAGGGCTTCCCTCACTAATTAGAGCAGCCCTGACTCAAGCAACCAGATACAGGGAGGCAGGCCCGAAGAAAGGGTCTAACAACCCTCGATGCAAATGCAAAAGCCATTTCCAAGTGGATGATTTATACTATCAGCATAAAGATTACCCTAATCTGATATTACTCTGAGACATTACGGATAAAACTCCCCAGCAACTCTGTCTACTTCCCCTGTCACAGCAGTTGGCTCAGACTTCCCCCAGCCCACCATCGCATCTTCAGGCTCCACATTAGAAAGAACTTCTT